ACATGGGAAGCTGGTCACCTTTCATGCCCCGCATGCAGTGAGGACAGCTATTATCACTCTTTGTGCTAGATTAAGGGCAAGTGTCATCCTATTCTGGAATTATAAAATCAAACTGCATTGTGGGGTGCAGGGATGCACATGTCAGCCCCACTCCTTCCACCTGTGACCTTGTGCTGTGCACTTTGGGCTCCCAGATGCGGGAGCTTAGAAAATACCACCAGACCTTGCCGTTCAAAACAGCAAGGAGGGAGGGGGCTTGCACAGCTTTTTACAGCACCTGAACTGGGCTTGTGTGGCAAACATATCCCCCATGGATGGATGTTTTACACAACTGGCTGCTCACATTGACGGCATGTATGCAGCCTGGCTTCAGAGAGGAAGCAGAAGGTGCCTCCTAGGCCAACCGGATTGGGGTTATCCTGAGGTCTGGAGTATGTTGTCAACTATATGCTGATGACACTCAGCTCTATTTCTCCTTTGCACCTGCAGGTGAGGCAGTGGAAGTGATGGACCAGTGTCTTGCCTCGATAATGGACTGGATGAGAGCCAACAGACTGAAGCTCAATCCAAATAAGACTGAGGCACTTTTAGTGGGTGGTTCCCTAGACCAGATGGGTGGGAGGTTGCCTGCTCTTGATGGGATTACACTTCCTCTGAAGTAGCAGGTTTGTGGCTTGGGGGGTACACAAGAGGCCTGGAGGGTGGCAAAATGAGAATGGGGCCTTTTCTGTAGTGGGTCCTCATCTGTGGAATGCTCTCCCCAGATTGATTCTCCCGGTGCCTTCATTATATACCCTTCGGTGCCAGGCAAAAACATTTATCTTCAACTAGGCCTTTGGTTGATTTGACTGACATCCTATGCCCTTTTAAAATGTGTTGGGGGGTTATTGGGTTGCTGTTGTTGTTATTTTGATTGCACACTTTGTGGTTTTATATTCTGATTATGTGCTGTGAACTGCCCTGAGACCTGTGAGTATAGAGTGGCATATAAATTCAAGAAGAAGAAGGGGAGGAGGAAGACTTTCTTCAATGAGTCTTCTTTTTTATGGATGGAATGGGGTGAGAGGAGGGAACCTTGCTATTCTGGACCACCAGATGAGCAGGAGTAGGGAGAAGCATGCGAACAGTTTCCCACATATATAATAAGAAGAAATTGTGCAACCAGCAACAAAGGAAAGCCACAGAACTTCATTATACACCTTTAGGGGCCAGGCAAAAACGTTCCTCTTCAACCTGGCCTTTGGCTGATTAACATTCTATACCCTTTTAAATGTGATTGTGGGAGGAGAAGGGGGGTTATTGTTTTATGATGTATTTATTATGCATTTTGTGTTCTTATCTTGTGAACTGCCAGTATACAAATTTTATTATTATTATTATTATTATTATTAACAACAGCATTTAGGGACCTAGACTTCCTTGACTGATCAGCATTCCTTTTCTGTAGGCAGTCAATTTCTCTCCTCTGCACACATGTACACGCGTTGTCAAAGCACATATTTAAAAGGGTAATGTTAGAAGATGGCAAGTATCGACCATAGGTTCATCAAGGGTTAAATTATCTTTTTCATATAAAAAATATGGAAAATTGAAAAGATGTGTACGTTGCCAGCAGGTAGCCAATGGCTTGCGCTGAAGAAGATGAGCCCTAACCACCCCATTTCTGGTGTAATTACCACCACTGCGGCAAGTCTTGACAACATACTGGCTCATTAGAAAATCTGCTGGAAACAACAGAGTGCTTCATAAACAAAGCGATTAGACAGGGTTTTCTGTGAGCTCCCTCAATCCATAGCTGTAGGGCCCACACCCCCAATGGTCTTCTTCATTTGCTCCTGCAGTGCTGAGCACTGGTATTTAGGAGAAAACATGGGTGAGCAAGAGAAGAGAAGGCATGGGCTGAAAATGCCTATCTCGCAAAGCTTAGTGTTGTTCTCTCCAGCCCTGTATCTAACCTTGCTCTTCTGCTTATGGTGGGCATGTGAGAACAGCTACAAGGGGAAGGTCAGTCCCCCTAGGGAGTTGGCATTCACAGCAGAATTCTACTAAATCAGAGTAAATGACAGAGCACGACAGAAGCAAATGTTGCCTCATGTTGTAAAAGGTAAGTGGAAATTCTTTTTCTGGAGATCATCTGGTTCAAGCCCTGCTGTGAACGTAAGGAACCCAAGAATACTGGCTGGCTCCTTCTTGGAGTTGTTTTCTAGGTTCTGGTTTACTGTGGAATGCTCACTTAAGGAATGAACCATAGTTTGGTTTGAGGAAGCCATGATGAGGAGCATAAGACAAGATGCTGGCAAAGTACCCTTGAATACAAGGGGTTTATTGATTTTTTGTTAATCAAGATGAGTCTTCAATAAGTAAACAAATTGGATTAAGGAATTGGATTACGGAAATATTAAACTGTAGGATTATGGTATTTAACATTTGTCTGTTTTCAGACTGAAGCAGCCATTTTTCTTGGGTAAACATTTTTGTTTGCTAAAAGGAAACATACTCCTCCCAGGAAAAGCCTGGCAAAAACCACATGGTTCTTAGGCCTTTTCCATCCTGTTGTTCTCCTAATCCCAGTGTATCCTTTTTGTCTGAGTATCTTGCAATAGAAAGCAGTAGGCCTTCCTACAGCAAGTCAGATAGACATGGGCCTTTTACTCTCATGTAGATTAGGCAGTTGTTATTAATTTATGAAAAGAGACCAGAGTTTATTGTTTGGTTGGTGACTGGTTACTTTGCCAAGGACAGCCAGTGTTCTTAAAGAGAGTTTTGTGCCTCTGCCTTTATATTATTTTCAAATTCATAACCGTTTATTCAGTAAGCCCTACTGAATTAAATGGAATGCAGTTCAAAGTTATCCTGCATAGACACAGCCAAAAATTCTGCTAATTCTAGATCCAGAAGCCCAAGCAGCCCACTGTATAGACAGCTGCATCTCCTTGCAGGTCAAGACAGGGAGTTGTAGCCCAGTCTCCTCAGTAAAGACCATCTGCATATTGGTAAAATGTTTTCTTTTTAGAAAGGCACTTGGACTATGAACCATACTGCCTTGTATGAACTGTGTTGTTATCTGTTTCTGGATTTGTTTTGGTTTTTTAACGGCTGCTGTATTCTGGCATTTTCTGCTGCTGTTCTGTTGTTAAATCATAAGGATTGCTTTAAATTGTTACTTTATGGTTTTATCCTTGTTCTTAGCTGCCTTGAGCACTCTGGAGGCAAAGTGGGAGAATACTGTTTCAGGGCTGCTTAAAAAAATAAATAAATCACATGTGCTGGATTCCACTAATACTTTACCTAGTCCAGCATCTCATTTTCAGGGGACCAAGAAGACACTTCTGGGAAGTCTACAAACAGAGGAGCATTCAGGGTTGCTGTTCATCCTCTAGAAACAACTTCCAAGCAACTGCTTGAATTAAGCCTTGGGTCCTCTGTGGATGACCACGGAGCAGGGCCACAGCATACTGCAAATCTGCTTTCAAAGAATTCTAGCTTTCATTTCCAAGCCAAGGCCACCTGGGACTAAAGGCAAAATTTTCTGACAAAATCCTTCTAAGGAGTCATGAGTTTGGGAACCCTAAAATATCCAACCCCCTCTGTTCCCTGACAGCCCTGCTTCAGTGCATGCATTAAATTAAACAACTGTCTAGTTTGCACAGTACTTTATAAATCTATAGTGAATGATGCCTGCTGGGTGCATCTTCAGCCACTGATTTGCAGGCAGAAGCTTCATTTCCTGCTACCGGTGCACGGAATTCACCAGCCTGCTGGAAGACACAGCTACTTTTCAATGATTATGACTCATGGGAAAGGTACAAATTCTACTCGATGGAGACCCATTGAAATGCTGAGCAGGGGTAATATTGGATACAATCCAATGTGTCTCAACCACCCCGGCATCATGATCTGAAGCACAAACTCTGAAAATTCCAATGGCGCTGTTGGCATTATAGGGGCAGAGGTTGGGCAGGACTACCTGGGTGCAGCTGCAAAGATCACCAGCTTCACTACTTGGTCTTTTCTCAGTTGAAATTCATTGTCTTTCAATATCCACTCAAGCCCAATTCCCACATATCCTACTTGGGAAATGCAAGGCCGTTTCACTCCACTGTATCACCTCCCCCTACCCCCAATCTTCCATTATCTGAAATACTGCACTGCAATTCCCCCACTCTCCTCCATCCAGTGGTACTCAAGACAAAATGATGGCAAAGACAAAGAGCAAAGTGCTGGCAGCAGATACGATTAATAGTCTTCAATTTAAAATTTTGTAATTATACAGAGGTTGACAACACATAATCAGGATTTCTGAATCCTTTCTGCTTTCATGCAACTGTCACTGGTGACCAGAGCAGCCATGGGCCAATGCCTCAGCTTTATGGGTTATAATAATAATAATAATAATAATAATAATAATAATAATTTATTATTTGTACCCCGCCCATCTGGCTGGGTTTCCCCAGCCACTCTGGGCGGCTTCCATAGAAACAAAAAATACAGTAAAATATCACAGATTAAAAGCTTCCCTGAACAGGGCTGCCTTAAGATGCCTTCTAAATGTCAGGTAGTTGTTTATCTCTTTGACATCTGATGGGAGGGCGTTCCACAGGGCGGGCGCCACTACCGAGAAGGCCCTCTGCCTGGTTCCCTGTAGCTTTGCTTCTCGCAATGAGGGAACCGCCAGACGGCCCTCGGCGCTGGACCTCAGCGTCCAGGCAGAACGATGGGGGTGGAGACGCTCCTTCAGGTATACAGGACCGAGGCCGTTTAGGGCTTTAAAGGTCAACACCAACACTTTGAATTGTGCTCGGAAACGTACTGGGAGCCAATGTAGGTCTTTCAAGACCAGTGTTATGTGGTCTCGGCGGCCGCCCCCAGTCACCAGTCTAGATTTATACAGCTGTTTAGCATTAGTTATACGACTAGTCTATCAGGGAGGAGATGTAGAATCATAGAGTTGGAAGGGACCCTGAGGATCATCTCGTCCAACCCCCTGCAATGCAGTGATATGCAGTTGGAAGGGACCAAACCTGCAACCTTCGCATTATCAGCACCATGCTCTAACCAACTAAGCTAGCCAGGCTGATTTCAGTGAAGCTTTCTGACATGCTAGTTTTTCCATCTGCAAAAAACCTGTCCGCTCCCCAACAGTGGAAGAGTCGACTGAACAGCTCCCCCTTCCCTGCCCCCAAGTGATACAATCAAGGGGGGGGGGAAATACTGCTCACTCATTTCTGATTAATATATAGACTAGATTCATTCCAAACTGTGGCCTTCTGGCAAATAGTCAGCGATGATGAAAGTTTGGTGTTTGGCTGTATTCACTGTGGAGCTTGGACTACCTACTCTCTAACCATCATCCGATTGTACAGCCTAAATTTCCATCAAAAGCCAAGCAGCAGCAAGCACATCAGCAGGGCTCCTCATATCACCATATGTACGGTAACAAGACCAGAGCTTCAACAGGAGGAGGAGCCACAGCAACAACTTATATGAAGACCATTACTTTACAGACTGTGACCTGTTCATAAACCTTTCTGAGCTAGTACTAGTCTGGTGCAAAATTACTGCTGTCAACCAGAACCCTGTAGGGTCTTGGGGGGCACACGTGGAACAGCACACAAACGGCATCTACAGGCACACAAGTGCATTATCCAGCCTAGAAATGTACACGGCAGGCCCTGATTACAGCTCAGCTCTGTGTGCACAATGGAAGTGCTTGCTCAGAGCAATTATTGTTACTTCCTCTCCCCCCTCTCATCTTACAAGTATCACTGGCCCGATCACACCAATTTCAGCGGACAAGACAGCTGACGATAACCGCCAGCTAGATTGCTAACAAAGGGGGAGAGGGAAGAGAAGCAGCAAGAATTGTTTTGTGGATTGAGAGCCTTGAGGGAAGGGGGAAAGGAGCTTGGAAACAAGAGGTCAGGCTAAACAGCCAAATGATTTAAACAGAGGCAGGAGCAGGATTGCAAATGGAGAACATGCTTCTCGGCTGTAGTGACATCAGTTTAATGCACACATTTATCACTTGCAAGGAAGCGCACAGAGAGGGTTCTTCAATTTACCCTCCTGACTCTCTGAAGCCACACACACACACACACACACACACACACACACCTCTAAGCACATCTACCCTCAGAAACCTGCAAAACATTTCTACTGAGCAAGTCCAGGAATGATTCCCCAGGCCACAAGAAGAAAAAGAGAGACAGACAACTTGTTTCTCCCCAAAGCGAGTTCGCTGCAAAACAATAAAGATGTGTTAAAATTGCACTGGTAATCATTTCCGAGGACTCCTGCAGAGTTCCTAGTCACCAGCGAGGAAAAGTCACAAGAGCAGAGATGACTGGAAGGACAGAAAAGACAACTGGGGTCTCAGAGCGGGGGGCGGGGGGGAAGGAGACAGGCTTTTTACCCACCAGCATGAACAATTGCAGCCATATTCTCTATTTAGCCAGACCACTACTGACACTGGCCCCAGCCAGGATGGGCAAAAGGTTCTCTAGTTCAGCCTCCTAGAGGGTCTGCCCAGAGTTCTCTCCTGCACACCAGCTCCTCACCTCCACAGACCAGCCAGGACAGAGGCAAAAGGGGGAAAGCAGCCGGAGTTATGTAAGAAGAGGGCTCTGCCCAAAGTCTTCATTACTATTCAAACTAAAGGAGAGGCTAGAGCCCTTTGGGAAGAAAGGAGTGAGTGGGTGAGAAATGTAATATGGAGGGGTGCATGTTTTCCATCAGGGATATTGGGGTCTGTTAGTGGAACGGGATCCTCAAGGAGAGGGCAGGGAAGTATGTTATCTGTACTGACCACAATTGTCTGCATAAAGATGGTGGTACTTTTTGTTTGTGTGAATGTAGCCTAAAACTATGAATGAGAGATTTAAGGCGTGGGACAGAGACTGCAAGGACTGGTCCCATCACTGCAAGGACTAGTCTTCATTTAGCTGTAGTTATGGACTGACCATAATTAGCAGGCATTCCATGCACATGGCTTTCAGGGTCATCTCTTGCACCTAATCCAAAGAAGAGCCTAACTGCTGCAGAATTGGCTTTATGATAAGGAAAGAAAAATCACGGGGTAGTCCTATAGCTGTCACCCCCACCTTTCTCGAAGCTAGACAGACTTTGAGCTGGCACCTCCCAAAAGATGAGCAATTTCCCACTGGTGGACAGAGAATAAGTCATGGAGAGAATAAGCCGCAGGCAAGTCGTTCTTCAGTTAACTCTTTACCACAGCCACAGAACACACGCCACTTTCAGCCCTATAAATCAGATTGTTAGTGAGGCAGAGAAGAGCGAGATCATGGCAACCTGGATACCTACAGATTCAACTGGGTCAGGAGCAGGTACTTTACATTCCAGAAGAGCAGCCTCGTCTCCCCACTCTCAGGAACCTGCCTGGGTAATCACTCAAAGCAAGCAAACTGATTAACCAAACAGGGAGAAGCAAGCCATCTTTGGAAGCAGCAGAACCAATCTGTGAAATGTATTATGTGAAACAATTAATGTTTAAAAAGAAAGAAAAGGCGGGGGGACTGCTGAGTATTAGCATAGTCCTTTCCCCTTGTTAAAACTGCCTTGAACGCTGAATTTACAATATCTAGGGCTCTGTGCTCTCTTCCACAGGCTCAGCCACCTAATTCCACACTTTGGAATAAGTGCTAAATTGCTTCATTTATTCTGACTGCAGTTATAGGTATTTTGCACAACCTTGCATTTTAGGCAAGGAACTGGGGTAGAATACAGAATAATATTAAAGAGTCCTATATGTCTGTGGGTGGGGGCAACCGCATAAATAACCCCTCAGAAGTGTCAATTGCAAACAGATAATGCCAACGGGAGTATTCAAATGCCTTACTTGCACATTGCACTGCACATATGCTTTTTTAAGACATTGGACCGTCTCTAAGTGAAGAATTGGCAGTCAAGCCCAAGCTCCTTACTCTGCAGCATTGTACCAGCCTGCCCAAAGAGACTGACTATCTGCTGTCCTTGAGCACCACAAACACAGCTGGTCAGATGAAGGTACTACAACTTATTAGCTGCAGTTGTGAAAAATGGGTTTGAAGATTCCTTTGACCTTGTCAGAGTGAGTGGCTAAGGCAAATATTATGGGGTGTTGGTGGCGAGAGCTTCTATGAAGGGGCCAGAGGGCCTTTGTGGGATGCCTCTACTTATGGTAGCAAGAAGGGGGATTTTCTAATCTGCCATAACTAAAATTAATAAGCAGACTGTCAAACTCCATGATCTACTGCCCTGAGGGGCGAGGGGGGGGGTGAGATAATCAAACCTCAATTGGATTTGACCCGGTTCTTTAAAGCACCTGACTCTGACCTAACTACTCAGTCTAGGCAGCTCATCTCTAGAAATAGAAGCTGCTCTGCCATCTTTCAGCCTAGGGAATGTCCTGTTTCACCTCCTCACTGTGTGGCAACCAGTCTCCTGTCTTGACACAGGCTCAAAAAAGAAGATTCCTTGAACCCAAGGTACATACTCGTACTTCACAACTTCATCACCAACTAGCCTCCATGTTGCAAAGTGTGACAGCTAGTACCTCAACCCCTAGCTAGCCCTCCAATCATGGCCCACCAGTAATTTTGGTTGCCGTCGGCTGATATTTTGGGGAGAACTCCTGCCTGCCAATATGGGACTGCATCTTTTGATGGAGTAGATTTTAGCCCTGGGCCTCCAGTTCCTGGTCCCTACTTGGCAACACTGGGGTCCAAGTGTGAACCTGCTCCGATGAGATTGCTAAAGGGGGTCCAATGTATTAAAGTGAGTTTGAGGCCAAAATACCTGATTGCAATCACATGGCTCTAAAGGAGGGGTAGCCAAAGTGATACTCTCTAGAAGTTGTTGGACTGCAACTCCCATTATCCTCAGCTAGCATGGCCAAAGGCTAGGGATGATTAAAGTTGGAATCCAACAACATATTGAGGGCACCACATCCGCTACCCCTGCCCTAAATGAATCTATCATTTGAGCAACCCACAGACTAGCCTGGGAACAGACTGGAATTTGTTAGAAGCAAGACAAGCCCCTGTGTTGGAGAATGGAAAAAGCTCAAACAGAGATCAGTGATGGAAAGCTTGTCAAAGATGTGAGGTGGGGGTTGGGAAGAGATGAATGCTACTTGTGCGCAGCTGATCGAAATGGGAGACAGGCAACAAGAGGAGGAAATTGACCCCATTTTGTATTGAAATAGATAATTTTAAGGCTTCTTAGGAGCAAATGGGAGATAAAAATGAAGCCGTGAAAATATAAGACTGAGGTAGCACAGATGTTATCATCTCCCACAGCCTGCTACTATTAATGTAATAGGGAGCCTAAGAAATTGCTCTCATCCACCAATTTCCAGTCAAGGTTTGTCAAAGAAATAGAAAGCCTGACATGCACAGCAAGGAAGGGGGGGTGGGGATATAATGCATAAGTGTTTCCATAAGAAAATTGCTGCTTCAGCAAACACCTTTAAAGAGAGACTGGGGGGGCGGCGGCTCTGGGTTGGGCAACCTTATAAATGCTGACTGTGAAAATGAGGCAGCAGGATCCCATCATACCCTACCATGGACATACAGCACACCTGAAGAAGGGCTGTAGCTCAACCACAAAGCACGCACTTAGCATGCAGAAGATGGTCCTAGATTCACCAAAATCCTGGAGAGCCACTGCCAGTAGATAATACTGAGCTGGGCAGTCTGATTCAGTAGAATGGGGGATTTTAACCACAGCCTCTCTGATCCAAGACTATCACCCTCCCATATAATGCAGTTTGCACAACAAAAGAACAGAAAGAACTGATGAGTTGCCAACGTAACTGGTTTCAAGTCAACATTACACGCACTGAATACTTCTTTGCCTTTAAAGATGCCCAGGGTGTCACTGCAATCCACATCAGAACAATAAGCAATGAATAAACGGACCAGAACAAGTCCTGTGTCATTGGGAAGGATGCCTGCTGTACAAGGCAGGGTGTACTAAAGCAGCTTGTTCAAAGGAAACTATGTTTGGAAGCTGAGCCACAGTAACTATACCCCCATGCACTAGACAGAGCAGGCAGCTTGGAAACAGGTTT